GTAGCAGAGATATAGCAGACATATCTGTGGTGTGGTCAGCACGCATCAAATGATAAGTTTGCTTTTCTGGTCTCACGTGTTTCATTATTACTGTGTTCCAATGACATAAGGTGAACATGCTTTTCTTTTCTATACACGTCTGTGCAAAACAAACAAACCGCCCCCCAAAAAGACTTTAATATAGTTTTAAATAAGATCTTTCGGCGCTTTCCAGTTGCAAACATCAGAGGCATTACTATACAATGTATAGACTACTATACAATATAATCCATACTTTTTCTTGTGGATAAAGCCAGATTTTTTTTTATTTCCAATCCTAATTAATGATAGTAAAAATTATTTAAACAAAGTTAGCTGGAGGATGAGGTTTAGACGTAAACACGGACTTTTTGAGGTGTTTTTGATGTTCAAAACGGTGCACTGTGCTCTGCGATGCTGCAGTAAGTCAGGAAGCGGTTAATTAGCAAGGTTTTTTTTTTCTTTTCAGAGGTTAAAACCTCGCTTCTCTGTTCATCAGTAGGAGGAAAACACTGACAGACTGAATTAGTATCTGTTGAATGTGGTCACCAAAGAATTTGAAGCACCCGAAGAACCTCATTTGTGTTCTTCGGGTTCTTCCTACATTTTCCGAGGTGTCACGTTCTCTGGGATTAGCCTTTCACCGCAACCTTTTTGTTTATTTACGTCTAATCAGTCCACCTGCCTCTTCTTGGTGACTATTTCCGCTATACAGAAAGCTTGCTTCCTGTTTTAAAGCACAACCCTTCAATCCTTACCCACCCTTGCCTACTTAAAACCATGCATAGGAAACAGCGTACACACTGTATATACACAAGCCCGCACCGGTGTTAATTTGATGGCCATGGTGGTTTAGAATTTCACAGCGCCTCAATTCAAGATGAATTTCCTCTACAGATTGGGAATATTCCTTAATATTCTGTGGATACAAGCTTTCTTTGTGCCTGGATTACAGTGTAATATGTCAGAGGAAGGTAGGGTTTAAAGGATGGTTTATTTATTAACACTGGAGTATAAAATGATACTATGTAACCACACACTATTGCCAAAATGTGAAAATGGGAGCAATACAGATACTCAGAGCACGTTTCTTTGTTAGCGGGGCATAAGGCATTAATATGAACTTTGGGCTTCTTGTTAACTTGAATGCAATGCCCACAATGTCTTTTTTTTTTTTTTGTATTTCCAATATTCTTCATTTATTGTGTTTGTCATTTTTGGAGCAGATGTTTTGTTCTTGAAGGATGAGCCTAATCCAAAGTGTTTCTCTCGGACAACATTTGATTTCACCTGCTTCTTCGAGACTGCAGACAACAGGACTTATAATTTGTTCTACTCTATAAAGTATGTTAAACACTGTGAATCTACTGAACCTTCTGTATTATGAAAACTCTTAAATACTATTTATGCATTGTGTTTAGACACTTTTTGATACTTCTGGCATGCTACTGATATTTATTTATTATTCTATGTGCACGCTTCTGCTGTATACTGACTACATTTTAGGAAAGTTCTTAGTTAGTTAGTTTTTTTATTGATTGTTTTTGTATTTTTGATAGACCATTTTAATGGTTTATGCACGATAGTCACCTGTATTGCATTTCTTCTTACCCGCAAGGCAAGATGTTTAAAACTGTTTTATTAGCTCATTAATGAGCAGCCCTGCCTGTTGTTTTTTTCTTTCATCCTAATCAAGCTCTCCAGCGCAGAGGTGCGAATTATCCGTCCAGAGAACAGAGAAGGGAACTTTGCTGCACATCTGCTCTTTTCCTGAAGTTATGTGGTTTGTTGACTACATCCTTACAGTCACTGAATCCTTTACGAACGCCACCATCTACACTCGGACTGTCTTTATGAGCGATCACGGT